TTTCTAACATAAAGTTTCAATCAATTCCAGGTTAATAAATTCAAAATACTTGGGCTACAGCAAAGTAACCATTCTCCAAGACTCCAACATTTGGATGAATATTTGGTCCCATTTTCTTGGTGTAAGAATTACGAAGTACCATGAGAAACATGTGTATGGGCTCTGCAATATCATAGTTTTTCCAAGACCCATAGCTGTTCTGGTAGCATACCTCTTATCATGGAATGGCTCATAACTGCCCCATTGATCACCATCTTCATTATTTGGTGACCACTGTCCCACCAACTTCCAAAAAAGTACTCAAGCTGATAGCTGTGGTTCACCAGCAGCATCTCCATTTTCCAACATCTCGGATGGCATTGAACAGTCTTACAGGAACTAACCCCTTCAGTCTCATACTAGCCAGACGACTCTCAGTCGCCAGTGCCTGCTGTGCATTGAGATCGTTAATAAGGAGGAAACTAAACTGGAAGTTCAATTCTGGGTGAGATAGATTCTTGCAGTTCTTCCCAACTCTTTAGTTGTAGTGAAAATGCAGGCATAGACCTTATCACAATTGGTGAAAGTCCACTGTCCAGAAGATGGTTTTTCCGAGACTCGACTTCTTTTTCAGATAGTTGTCTACACTGAATAATAGGTTATTCATCTTAGTTATAAGTTCTCTGACTTATGGAAAATTCAGTTTCCTCATTTGGTGATGTACAGTTTATTTCACAAAAGATTTCAAAAGATCACAATGAGATACATTTGTCACAAAAACTGAGAACTACGCAATAATAAATCCAACATTTCTACCTCACTACTTTACGCTATAGTATTCCTAAACACACCTTTCAGATAGATAATATGAGGCTCATTCAGGAAGTGTATTATGAAGTAAATCTAAATTTTCACTTTGAACAAGTTTATAAAAAGAAACAGAACACCAATGTGTAATGAACTGAAAATCAGTCAAAGAGACGAGAAAATGTAAAAAGACAATATATATACTTATGCACAAGCTCACATGTATCTTTGCCTCAATGTATGCCTATGAGCATATGCATTCGTATATATACACACACTTACGCACAAGCTCACATGTATCTTTTCCTCGTGTATGCGCATGCTCGCGCGCGCACACACACACACACATATATATATTTCTAAACATGAATTTATTCTATTTTGATATTTTATTGCATTTTTAGCCACAGAGCACTAATTATTTTTCGAACTTTAGGTACATGACATTGTTGTGAGGCAACAATGCATAACACCATACATAACTGTTGTTATTATTTATATTTCTTCATTTTTTTTTATAACTGAAACTTCAATTTTGATTATTATTTTATTTATCCTACTTTTAAAACCATATTGATTTGCCTGTGATTTACGTGTATGCTCCTTTATATGTGTTGTATGATGCTCATTTCGAACATATTATGTTTGATACTACTTGAGGTATCAAATATTTTGTTTGTTACGCCTCTGGTCGTTCGCTTGTTAATTTTCCGTAAAAATTCTTTCCGAAGAAACTTTAGCGATACAAGTCCTTTCTTAAATAAAACTAGTTTATTCTTTCTCGATACACATGATTTCCACAGTCACGCTATAACTTAAACAAACGCTATAATTCACAACGAACGATTCACGCGCTTGACTCAATTGTCCGTCTCTATCTGTGTCTGCAATTCAATTCCCTTTTGTTTGGCGCACTTATTTACAAGAATACCATGACGTGTTACTAGCGTCACGTGACTTCCGCTTTCGTAACAGTTTCATAAAAGTTTAAAATCATAAGAAAAAGGACGTCTCAGCTCTAAACGTTGTGAACATTAAAACATCTATTTAATGTTAAACATGTGAACATTTCAGTACATTAGCTTAAACTT